TAAGAAACGCCATCTATACTTTAATTAATTAGTTTCCATTCTGATGTTTTTTCGCATACTGTATATTTTTGATGTCTTAAATACCCGAATGGGTACAAATTTTTGTGTATTGATCAAAGACATATAATATATACATATGGGACATTTCATTGATAGATGGCGATGGTATAGGAAAAATATGTTATGTCACCATATCAGCTATTACTTTTGTTGTGGGGGTTTTCCTGATTTCTGATGTTTTTTTTCGAATTCCGACATTTTCACTTTAAATGCCCTCAACACTTTTCAAGGCTACCTTCAATTTACAACATAGAATACGATTTTTGATGTGTATCATATCTGAGAAGAAGCGCCATCTATATCTCTTCTGTAGAAAGAATAGGTTCCACAGTTCTTCTAAGGATAGAAGACCTTCTACAGCTCTTCTAATGATGGAAGATCTTTCACAGCTCTCCTGTAGATAGAAGACCTTCTACAGCTCTTCTATGGAGAGAACAATGCGCCATCTATGCCTACATTTGTAATGTTTTTTCTTAATGCTTGTTAGTCATGGTTTATACTGAGTTTAATGACCAAATTCTGTTACAACACGAAAATATAAAAAAATTAAGCCAGAAGTCATGAAACTTAAAAAAATTTGCTCAGCCAGACCAGACGCCATCTACACTTCAATTTTAGTTCTGTTTTTCTTTTACATTTTTGTGCATTATAATTTTATTAGGATTAAAAAATGGAACGTTTTATTCTTGGGTGCCTTACTAACTTCGAATATCGTATTATCAAAACTTAGAAAATAGTTTCAGATATGCAACTATATTATATAGCAACGCCATCTATACTTCAATTGTTATATTGTTTAATTATAACGTTTGGCATACTCAGTGCATACTTTTGGGCATTAAAGATTATGATATTCACTGCAAGAGTTCTCTAGCAATTGGTGAATAAAATACCCCAACCCATATCGATATTGGCAACATTTTTTCCATTGGTGGTAAATTTGCTGACTCATCCAAATCATAGAGGTTTCACAACCTGATTAGACAAGGGAGACCATCGTAGTCTGTGAAAAAAACCTATGGGTCATAACTTATTATTGAGATATTTTTTGTCATAAAGCTTCGATTGAGAAATCTGCTATTTCGATAAGTTTTCGCAAGTTCAAGTTAACTATTTCCTCCCGATTTATTCAAATCAAATTTACACCAAGAATTTACATATCTACCCCTTTAAATAAGAGCTTCAAGATAGAAACAGTTCTCCCTCATATAGAGATTATAAGTTCCTAGAAACATCTGTCCAATTCTTCTTGGGCCTAAGAATTTATCTTATCTTCCTTCCGGGTTTCAAATAATCGCTATTTGCGGCCCACTGAACAAATTGAGATTAGCGCGCCTAAAAGTATGCATCACACACCAACCAATTCCTTCAACAGATGTTCAGTAATTTAAAAATTCATCTGTAACTTAATGATATTCCTAGAGCTTCTATATCATAGGAGATAATTAAGACAATCCAAAAAAAAATTAAATATTAAATTCAATTTTAAATACTGCCACTGGATCCGGAACCACTGTTGTCACCCAACTTCCACCATTTTTTTGTCTATTCTACAAAAATCATTACGGTAAAATAATGTTTAACATTATTGCACCACATCTACACACCTACATACAGGTGTGTGTCTGCGTGTGTGATGGCAGTATTAACGAAAATACTTAATATCATAACAGCTTGTATAATAATCAAGGACCTTCTACTATCCACTACAAACGCTTCTGCTCCGGCAACTTTATGAACAGAGCAAAGAGAGAGAGAGAGAAATGCAGAAAACAAAACAAACTCAACGACCGAATGACTGACAGACATAAAATGAAGTCATTTGCATAAAATGCAATGACAGAAAATGGAAAACCAGCGAAGAGAGTTGTACAAACAAGAGGTATCAGAAGTTGATGGAGGATAAGTATGAAGATAAGGGCAGCAAAACTTTAATGTTTACCAAGTTTTTTGATAAAAAAAAGATGGAGCTAGCAAGTGGACCTATAAATATGCATCAGATTTCAAGAGGTTTTTGATTGTAGGGAAGAGATCTGCAAGAGATCAATAAAATACTAGATCAATAAAAACAGGAGCTCTTCTGTAAAGAAAATACCTTCCACAGTCATTAGAAAGAAGGTCTTCTATAGATGGAAGGCGGCCTACTGCTCTCCTGTAGGCAAAAAAACCTCTGCTCCCCTATATAAAGAAGACCTCCCAAAGATATCCTATGGGGAGAAAAACTTCCAGAGCTCCTCTATAGGAAGAAAAGCTTCCACAAGCATGTCTACACATAAAAAATGTTGCTAAAGTGGACCTATAAATATGCATCAGATTTCAAGAGGTTGCTGGTGTAGGGAGGAGACCTGCAAGAGATCAATAAAATACCTTTTTGTAACTTTATCCAAAGAGAAGATCTCCTGTAAAGAAATTACCTTCCACAGTCATTAGAAAGAAGGTATTCTATACATGAAAGGCCGTCTACAGCTCTCCTGTAGGCAAAAAAACTCTGTTCCCCTATATAGAGAAGACCTCCCAAAGCAATCCTGTAGGGAGAAACACTTCCAAAGCTCCTCTATAGGGAGAAAAACTTCCACTAGCCTGTCTATGCATAGGAAATCTTCAGCAGCTCTTCTAAAGATAGAAGACATTCGACAGCTCTTCTATAAATTGAAGACCTTCCATAGCTCACCTAAAGAGGGATAATCTTCCACAGCTCTTCAGCACAAAGAATAGATTGCACATCCCGACTATAAATAAAAGACCTCCCACAGCTCTCCTGCAAATAAAAGACCTTACATACCTCTCCTATAGATAGAGGACCTCCCACAGAGCTTCTAAAGATAGAGTTCATTCCAGAGTTATTCTATAGACAGAAGACCTTCCTCAGCTCTTCTATCGATAGAAGACCTTCCACAGGTCTCATAAAGAGAGAAGACCATACACAGCTCTCCTATAGATAGAAGACCTCCCACAGAGCTTCTAAAGATAGAGTTCATTCCAGAGTTATTCTATAGACAGAAGACCTTCCTCAGCTCTTCTATCGATAGAAGACCTTCCACAGGTCTCATAAAGAGAGAAGACCATCCACAGCTTATCTATAGATAGAGGAACTGCCGCAGCTCTTCTATAGAAAGAGGACCTCCCACAGCTCTTCTATAGCTAGAAGACCTCCCACAGCTCTTCTATAGCTAGAAGACCTCCCACAGCTCTTCTATAGAAAGAAGACCTCCCACAGCTCTTCTATAGCTAGAAGACCTCCCACAGCTCTTCTATAGCTAGAAGACCTCCCACAGCTCTTCTATAGCTAAAAGACCTCCCACAGCTCTTCTATAGCCAGAAGACCTAACACAGCTCTTCTATAGCCAGAAGACCTTACACAGCTCTTCTAAAGATCGCAGACGTTCCACTGCCCTTCTTCTAAAGATAAAAGTCCTTCCACAGCTCTTCTAAAGATGGAAGACCTTCCATAGCTCTTCTACAGATAGAAAACCTTCCACAGTTCTTCTGCAGACAGATGACCTCCCACTACTCTTCTGTAGATAAAATACCTCCTACAGCTCTTCTGTAGATAGAATACCTTCCACAGCTCTTCTATAGACAGAAGAACTTCCACAGTTTTCTATAGACAGAAGACCTTCCACAGTTCTTCTAAGGATGGGAGACCATCCACAGCTCTTCTAAGGATGGGAGACCTTCCACAGCTCTTCTATAGTTAGAAGACCTTCCTCAGCTCATGTATACGTAGAAGATTTTCGAAAGCTATTTTAAAGATAGACCCTTCCACAGTTCTGCCAAAATAACCTCCCATGGCTCTTCTGTATATAAAAGAACCTCCACAGCTCTTCTGTGGACAGAAGACCTCCCACAGTTCTTCTGTAGACAGAAGACCTCCCACAACTCTTCTATATATAGAAGACCTTTCACATGTCTCCCAAAGGGACAAGACCGGCCAAAGTTCTTCTAAGGATGGGAGACCTACCACAGCTCTCTCATATAGAGAAGTTCTTCCACAGCTTTTCCGTTGACAGAATTTCTTTCACAGCTCTTCTCTTACTCATTGAAACCCTTCCTCCAGATCCGGTGTAACATGAATCTATAATACTTAATTTCCATCCCTGGCATCTGCTATTGTGTTTCCACATGAATGAGCCATAAAATTGTAAATGTGTGGTTAATAACCACACACTCACACACACACACCCACACCCACACTAAGAGACACATGTTCCATAGAATTTGAATTTGACTGTTTTGGAATTCCGAAGCTAGTTTTAAAGGAGCCCTAGTCGAGGTACACCAAAACATATTGCACTCAACATAAATCAAATAAAACCTCAAGTTTTGTAGGTGGTTGTGGTTTGTTTTTGGTAACTGGTGCAGAGTAGTGAACACACCAACACACATACGTCCTCCTGCATTGAAATATTGAATCAACAAAACCTGTCATCATCATCCTCATCATCATGCCCGGCAACAGCAAAACATCCTCATCTGTCATCATAATCAATAATCAGTGTAATTACCCCTCCCCCCACCCATGTTGTTGTTGTGTTTTACAAAAATTTTTGAAACCGCCCCCCCCTGGCCCGCCCCTCCGCAATTGCCCCATGCACTATCCCCTCGTTCGTTCGCTGTTTAATTCAAATATCATTGTGAGCACACCTAAACATGTTTTTTTAATTCGCCTTTATTTTATATTCATACGTCATTCGCAAATTTCTATGCGCCTCAAAAACCAAAAAAAAAACAAAATTCGCATGTGTCATTTGACGTCAACAACAACAACAACTACTACAAACACCAACAACAACACAACAACATCATTACCCCTGACCGCCACCACCACAACAACAACGACGATGACAACAATGACCATCCTCCTCCACCGACCACTAACGACAAATCATCACAACAACGACGATGACGACCACCACCGATGACACGTTGAACCCCAAAAGGTTACCGGATTTTGTCGTTCACCTCAGGAAACCCGCAAAGCGAGTCCCACAGGATCTGTGACATCATCGGTTTCAAATGCAGCTCTCACACCGTCACGCCAATTAACGGATGCCGAGAAATTACGCAAAGTCATATTGGAATTGGTCGATACGGAAAAAACCTATGTTAAGGTGAGCGATTTTACAGCTGTAATTTGAAATTGTTGGATTACAAACGGAGAAGAAGAGAACAAGTCCTTTGGGAAAGGATGTTAAGCTATTCTGTGGGGAGACGACCCACTACAGCTCTTCAGGAGTCGGAAGAACTGCTACAGCTCTTGTGGAGGCAAAAAAAACCTGTTACTGCTCCTCTGAAGACAAGCCAACGGTTACAGCTCTTCTGGAGGCAGAAGATCTGTAGCTGCTCTTCTGGAGACAAAAAATCTGTAGCAACTCTTCTGGAGACAGAAGATCTGTAACAGCTGTTCTGAGGGCAGAGAATTTGTGGCAGAGCTTCTGGGGACAAAATATCTGTGGCATCTCTTCTGGGGACAGAAAATCTGTGGCATCTCTTCTGGGGACAGAAGATCTGTGCCAGCTCTTTTGGAGACTGAAGATCTGAAACAGATCTTCTGGAGGCAGAGGACCTGTTACAGCTCTTCTGGAGCCAGAAGACCAGTTACAGCCTCTAGCAGTTCTTCTGGAGCCAGAAGATTTGTAGCTGCTCTTCTGGAGATAGAAGATTTGTAGCTGCTCTTCTGGAGATAGAAGATCTGTAGCTACTCTTCTGGAGACAGAAGATCTGTAGCTACTCTTCTAGAGACAGAAGACCTGTAGCCAGCTCTTCTGGAGCCAGAAGACATGTAGCCAGCTGTTCTGCAGCCTGAAGACATGTAGCCAGCTCTTCTGGAGCCAGAAGACCTGTAGCCAGCTCTTCTGGAGCCAGAAGACCTGTAGCAGCTCTTCTGGAGCCAGAAGACCTGTAGCAGTTCTTCTGGAGCCAGAAGACCTGTACCAACACTTCTGGAGCCAGAAGACCAGTTACAGCCAGAAGACTAGTTACAGCTCTTCTGGGGCCAGAAGACCAGTTACAGCTCTTCTGGGGCCAGAAGACCTGTAGCAGCTCTTCAGGGGCCAGAAAACCTGTAGCAGCTCTTCAGGGGCCAGAAGACCAGTTACAGCTCTTCTGGGGCCAGAAGACCTGTAGCAGCTCTTCTGGGGCCAGAAGACCTGTAGCAGCTCTTCAGGGGCCAGAAGACCAGTTACAGCTCTTCTGGGGCCAGAAGACCAGTTACAGCTCTTCTGGGGCCAGAAGACCAGTTACAGCTCTTCTGGGGCCAGAAGACCAGTTACAGCTCTTCTAGAGGCAGAAGACCTATTACAGCTTTTCTGAAGCCGGAAAACCAGTTACAGCTCTTCTGGAGCCAGAAGACCAGTTACAGCTCTTCTAGAGCCAGAAGACCAGTTACAGCTCCTCTGGAGCCAGAAGACCAGTTACAGCTCTTCTGGAGCCAGAAGACCAGTTACAGCTCTTCTGGAGCCAGAAGACCAGTTACAGTTCTTCTGGAGACAGAAAACCAGTTACAGCTTTTCTGGAGCCAGAAGACCAGTTACAGCTCTTCTGGAGTCAGAAAACCAGTTACAGCTCTTCTGGAGCCAGAAAACCAGTTACAGCTCTTCTGGAGCCAGAGGGCCTGTCATAGCTATTCTCCGGCTAGGTCTTCTGTCCTCAGTAGTAAATCTGTCTTTTCCCAAGAAGAAGGACTTGTTCTCCGTCCTAATAACGAGAAATCTATGAGCAATCTTTTCAATATCCCCCTCATTCCCCTCTTCATCTTGCAGCATTTAAATAATCTACTCGAAAACTACTTGGAACCCTTGAAACGTGAAACTTTCCTATCGAATGCTGAAATCAATGCTCTCTTCGGAAATATCCATGAAATTGTCACATTCCAGCGGCAATTTTTGCAAAATCTGGTTGAGGCCCTGGAGCTTGAGCCAGATTTTCATAAATTTGATCATCCTAGTCAATATCGAGTAAGTATCTGAAAACAAATTCCCTCCCATTCGTCGTCTAATCCTCCATCCGCTTTCACAGAACGTTTTATTTGCCATCGGTTCCGCATTCCTCTACTATGTAAATCACTTCAAGCTCTATTCATCGTTTTGTGCCAGCCACAGTAAGGCCCAGAAAGTTTTGCATCCAAGTAAGTCACCTTTCTAGATTCGGGTGTGTTGGTCATTTTCCCCGTAACCTCTTTCTGCCAACTTTCAGATGAAGGAAATCATGCTTTGCAAGAGTTCCTAAATGCTCGCAATCCGAAACAGCAACACAGCTGTACGCTGGAGTCGTATCTCATCAAGCCGATACAGCGTATCCTAAAATATCCCCTGCTATTGCAACAGCTGCGAAATCTAACCGATTCCCGGGCCGATGAACATCTGCATTTGTGCGGTAAGTGAAGGAAGGAGAATGTAGTTCTTTAAGAGTTATTAATGTTTATTATTATCTTCCAACAGAGGCCCTTAAGGGCATGGAAAAGGTAGCCGAACACATTAACGAAATGCAAAGAATCCACGAAGAATATGGAGCCATATTTGATCATTTATTCCGCCAGCATCAGAAGGCCTGCAAACAGCCAATTGACTTGAGTCCAGGTAGGTTTCATAAAACTGCAACTAATGTTCTGCCCTTGGAGATGTAAAAGAACTTCTCTTAAGATAAGAGAATTTTCTCTCAATAAAAAAACTACAGAAGATCTGCTCTCCAAAGAAGAATTGTAAGATAGCTTCTGACCGCAGAAGAGGCATAACGGGTCTCCTGACTCCAAAAGAACTGCAACATGTCTTCTGGCTCTAGAGGAGCAGAAACAGGTCTAGTATCTCCAGAAGCGCTGTAAGAGGTCTTCTGCCTCCAGGTGTGCTGCAACAGGTCTTTTGCCTCCAGATGTCCTGTGATAGGCTGGCTTCAGATGAGCAGTAATTTCTCTCTGGCTCCAGATGAGCTGTAACAGGTCTTCTGGCTCCAGAAGAGCTGCTATAGGTCTTCTGGCTCCAGAAGAGCTGTTATAGGTCTTCTGGCTCCAGAAGAGCTGTTATAGGTCTTCTGGCTCCAGAAGAGCTGTTATAGGTCTTCTGGCTCCAGAAGAGCTGTAATAGGTCTTCTGGCTCCAGAAGAGCTGCTATAGGTCTTCTGTCTCCAGAAGAACTGTAATAGGTCTTCTGTCTCCAGAAGAACTTTAATAAGTCTTCTGCCTCCAGAAGAGCTGTTATAGGTCTTCTGGCTCCAGAAGAGCTGTTTTATGTCTTCTGGCTCCAGAAGAGCTGCTATAGGTCTTATGTCTCCAGAAGAACTGTAATAGATCTTCTGTCTCCAGAAGAACTTTAATAGGTCTTCTGCCTCCAGAAGAGCTGTTATAGGTCCTCTGGCTTTAGAAGAGCTGTAATTGGTCCTCTGGCTTTAGAAGCGCTGTAATAGGTCCTCTGGCTCTAGAAGAGCTGTAATAGGTCACCTGGCTCCCGAAGAGCTATTATAGCTCCCCTGGCTCCAGAAGAGCTGTAATAGGTCCTCCGGGTCTTCTGGCTTTAGAGAACCTGTAACGGGTCTTCTGCCTCAAGAAAAGCTGACTGATTATTGACTTCTAAGTCAAGGGATATTGACTCCAAAGTCAAAGACTATTCACTTCAAAGTCAATGACTTTTGACCTCAAAGTTAATGACCAAGACCTGTAAAAGGTCTTCCCTCTGTGGAAAATTTATAGAACATCTCATAATTCCACCCCTTGCATTTTTAGGTGATCTTTTGTATTACGGCGGCGTGGAGTGGTTAAATATCTCCGATTTTCTGGGCAAAATCAAAAAAGGTTTGGAGCTACATGCCATGTGCTTCGTATTTAAATCAGCGGTTGTGTTCCTTTGTAAAGAGCGTCTAAGACAAAAAAAGAAATTGATGGTAAGTGGAGAACTCTCTCTCTCTCTATTTTTTATAGTCTCTCATATTAATTCTCCTGTTTTTCCAAAATTGCGATTTTTCCAATTTTTCCACTTCCGATCTTCCTCATTATTTTTTGAAATCTGTGAATCACCATTCATTCTTATCTCCCCACCAGGGTGTCTCGAGTAAAAGCACCCCCAACGAGGTGGAAATCATACGCTATCAAGTGCTAATACCCGTCACTGAAGTCCAGGTGCGTGCCTCATCGGCCAAGGATATGGATTCACATTTCCTCTGGGAATTGATACATCTACGCTCCCAGCTACAGCGTCGATCCGAAAAGGTCTATGTGCTATCGAATAGCACCGCCGATTTCCGCAATGCATTCCTAAAGACCATACGCCAGATAATACGGGAGAGTGTGCGCAACATGTCGATTCCTATGAAGAATTTTGGTGGTAGTTCGGGTTCCGTATCGGGTATGTCGTCACAGGGTGGATGCTCGGGAAGTTCACAGACATTGGAGAGGCCTAAGCAGCAGGTGAGTGTTATTGGTTTTCACTCTTAAAATGCTAGATACCCTCTCTCTATTTCTTGGCTCCTTTACTAACCGAATTATTGCTATATTCCTCTTCGCCCACCTCGCCACCACCATCTTGTAGATAACAATAATGCAGGGTTCCCAAACGCTGGGCAAGCCCAAGAAAAAATCCGGTTCCCAAAGACATTCGGCTGGCAACATAGATTATGATAACATCTCAGGTAGTCAAGAGGCAGAGGATGTACCATTCCAAGAGCATCATCAAATGCATCATACCCTACACACCTCCACTTTCCGTAGTCGTAGTAAAACCGTGGGCGATGCTTCAGGTAATCCCGACATGAGCTAGACCCCTTATTATTTTTTCATTTCATTATTTCCCTCGATTTTTGTAGATATTCTAGGCTCTGGCATGGACACACCCCAACAACAGCAGCAGCAACAAATCCATCTCCACTATCAGCAGCAGGTGCAGCAGCAACAACAACAACATCAGCAACAGTTACAATCCCAAAGTGACGTAGAACGCATGGATCCCGGCACCAAATCGGAAGGTGAAGAGGAATTCCAACAGGGTACGATTAAGACGAAAGCCTCCTTGGGAAGGACACCAAATCATTTGACATTAAGGTGAGTTCTCTCAGAGAATCGCTCTCTCGCTCTCACTCTCCCATTGACTATTGACTTTCAAATCAATGACTATTGACTTTGAAGTCAATGACTATTAACTTCCAAGGCAGTGACTATTGATTTCCAAGTCAATGACTTTTGACTTCCAAGTCAATGACTATTGACTTCCAAGTCAATGACTATTGTATTCCAAGTCAATGACTATTGACTTCCAAGTCAATGACTATTGACTTCCAAGTCAATGACTATTGACTTTCAAGTCCCTGGCTATTGACTCGCCAGGCATTGACTTTCTAACCAATGACTGTTGACTGTCAAGTCAATGTCGATTGACTTTCAAGTCAATGACTATGGACTTCCAAGTCAATAACTATTGACTTCCACGCCCATGACTATTGACTTCCAAGTCAATGACTATTGACTTCCAAGTCAATGACTATTGACTTCCAAGCCAATGACTATTGACTTCCAAGTCCATGACTACTGACTCCCAAGTCAATGACAATTGACTTCTAAGTCAATGACTATTGACTTCCAAGTCGATGACTATTGACTTCCAAGTCAATGACTATTGACTCCCAAGTCAATGACTATTGACTTCCAAGTCAATGACTATTGACTTCCAAGTCAATGACTATTGACTTCCAAGTCAATGACTATTGACTTCCAAGTCAATGACGATTGACTTCCAAGTCAATGACGATTGACTTCCAAGTCAATGACTATTGACTTCAAAGTCAATGACTATTGACTTCAAAGTCAATGACTATTGACTTCCAAGTCAATGAATATTGACTTTAAAGTACCTGGCTATTGACTCGCGAGGCATTGACGTTCTAACCAACTACTGTTGACTCCCAAGTCAATGTCGATTGACTTTCAAGTTAATTGCTATTGACTTCCAAGTCGTTGACTATTGACCTCCAAATCAATGCCTATTGACTCCGAAGTCAATGACTTGATTATTGACAAAGTCAATGGCAATTGTCCTCCCAGTCAATGAGTGTTGATTTCCAAACCCCTGACTATTGACTGCGAAGTCTATGGTAATTGACTTTCAAGTTAATGGCTCTATTGACTCCGCAGTCAATTTCTATTCTTTCCGATGTCATTTACTATTATTGTTGACTTCGAAGTATCTGACTATTGACTTCCGACTTCCGAGTCAATAAGAATTGACTTTCAAGTCAATGACTACTGGCCTATGAGTAAGAGAGTATTGACTCTGAAGTCAGTGACTTGATCATTGTCCAAATCAATGACTATTAACTTCTTAGTCAATAGTAGTACTCCGAGATCAAAGCCTATTGACTCTAAAGTCAATACCTATTAATTGGTTATTAATTCCGAGGTTTACCGACTATTGACTTCCAAGTCAATATCCATTGACTTCCAAATCAATAGCCATTGACTTCGAGGTCAATAGCCATTGACTCCGAATTCAATATCCATTGAATTCGAAATCAATACCCATTGTCTCCGAAGTCAAGTCAATAGCCATTGACTCCAAAGTCAATACCCATTGACTCCGCAGTCAATAGCCATTGACTCCGAAATGAATACCGATTGACTCCGAAGTCAATACGTATGCCGACTTTTGACTACCGAGGTAATAGATATTGAATTCGGAATCAACACTTAAAAGCTCGGAATTCCATACCAATTGACTACGAATTCAATACTTATCGACTTCGAAGTCAATACCTATTGACTCCTAAATTAATGCCTATTGACGTCGAAATCAATAGCTACTGGCCTCTCTCTCCCTCTATTTGCGAGTTCTGATATTTTATTCTCTTACACTCTTTTTGTGTAATTTTCTCTCTTCTAACCTCTAACATCTCTCTTTTCTCCCCCTCCTTTGATGTCATTTCAGTACGACATCGACGCTATCCGTTGGCAGTACCGGCAGCCAGGCACGTTTAATTCAATCATCACATCCTCCATCAACGTATCAACCAGTTCTTATGAAAGACTTAGGTAAGCGTAGCTCTATTTCTGAAGACTATGATAAAGATAATGGTAGGGTTACGGTGGAAGACGATCATGATGATAATGATGATGATGATGGTGATAATTGTAATGACCAAGATAATAATGTGGTTGTTGTTGAAGACAATGACTACGACAATGATGACAATGATAATCGAAATCAAAATCAAAATATTCGAAATATTCACGAGACAGATTCTCAAGCCACAGCAACAGCAAAAACAACACCAACAAATCTTAATTTAAGTCTAGGCAGTAGTGGCACTTCCTCCCAAACTCATCCCCCCGATAGTCAGCAATTCATTTCCTCCGGCAATCTGCATGCCATGCCGGGTAAATTTTCTCCTCGACAATCGCCCAATCGGGACGTGGAAGTTATTGAAATATTTAAGAGTGAAATAGATAGGATTAGTGCTGCCACGCAGCAGGTATCGGTTGTGCATTTTTCGTCGGGCAAAGAGTCTTCCAGGAAATCACCCTCGGCGGGACGTACTGCGGCGGAGAGCGTCATGGACGAACCGCCCAGTGTCCAGTATATGGATAAGCATTTGTGTGACCTACAACAGGATCGACTGAGTGAGACAGTGACGTGTGACATTGAGACGTATATGGCGAATTTGAAAGAGACCTCGTTGGAGGCCAGCGATTTGCAGATTGAGGGTAGTGATCAGCAACAAAATGATTCGAGCTTGAGTCCCGAGCCACAGACGGTGGTGGAGAATACCCAGCAAACGGTGACGGCTGATATAGAGTCGCCACCAAGACCCATTGTGGAATCGGATAGTACGGGCACCACCACCTATACTACTTCGGAAAAATCCGAAGATGAATCGGAGGGTGGTACCTCGGGGGCCTCCACAACCACGGCCCATCATGTGGTCATTGACAAAAAGGTAGATAAGGTTTTCAAATCCAAGTCATCCGAAAAAATTGCCAAGACTTCCAAGACCAGTTCCAGTGGCAGCAATGGCAGCAGCAGTGGTTCTGGCACTGGATCCAAAAGTAAACTAAAATCGCCGCGCCAAAACATCTACATTTCCCCGGATCGTTCCAAGTCGCAGGGTAGCTCCCCGGTACGCATTATCAAGATAAAATCACCACGCACCAGTCTAAGTGATCAGGGCAAACGTTTGAGTGTCAGCTCTAGTCGTGACTCATCCCAGGATAGGCTTTCGACGGGCCGGCGCACTCCCAGTCCCCGGCGGGCCTCCGATGGCGGTGGTGGCATTCTGAAACGTTCCGCAAGTCCCTCTGGAGGTATACTCAAACGTCCGCCCAGTCCTTCGAAATCCAAGAGTCCCGATCGCAGTTGTCTCAAGAAGTTGACACCCTCGCATGACTGTAGCATTGAGTCACTGTCACCTCACATTTCACCGCGCAATAGCATTGAGTATCTCTCACCGGATCGTTCCACAACCACCACTTGTACCATGTGCCAGCATCATGTCTCGCCACGCAATAGTTTTGACAGTCGCAGTTCGGAGCCAAATCTCGATTTTCCACGCTCCTCGCTGAAATCGCCTAGGGGTAGCTTCGAATCTCGCTCTCCCGATCGTGGTTTTGGGGGTTCGCGCAAACGCAGTGCTTCGGCCCATGCCCACATTGACAATGGCCACAAGGCAAAGGCCAACGAAGCTTACTACCAATACTATCCGATCTATGACAATCGCACTTGCAGCGATCATTATGTCTCGGTGAGACGTGATAGCGATCATCGTCCCGAAGGTCTACATCGGCGGGCCAGCAAGTCGCTGGAACGTTCCATGTCCCGTGACAGCACCACAAGTAGCTCATATCGTTATGGCGTCTCGCCCGATCGCTACTATGCCCCCATTTCGGATGCCATGAATGCTACAATGCGTTCCCAATCGGCGGAGAATACTTTCTCGTCGGCCTCACCCTATCGCCACGAACCCACACCCAGTGCATACTATCATTTTGGTGGTCCTTCGGCGACACTGCAGCAGCAATATGGCGGCATGTATCATGAGCCTCAGTGTCCCCATGACCGTTCCTCTTCGTATCAGCTAAGTTCTTCCGCTCCAGAGCACACCACATGCATGGATTGTCTATATCAGAAGAGACCATCCTAGCATAGGGGGCGCGTGCGACAGAGTCGTACGCGCAAGAAGGTACCCAGGGGGGCAGTGCTAATTCAAGGACCGGGTGGCATTAGTGGTATGTCGGGTCATGGTGAGACCTGTGATCCTAGCATGTTTAGTTCCCAGGCCACGTTGGTGCAGCACCAGCAGCAACAACAACAGCAACCCTCGGTCATGATGTCGCAACAGAGGTCTGGCGCGGGTGCCATGGGTGTGGGTGTGACTGTGGTTGGTGGCACACCCGACATGGGTGGTGGCGAGTGTGTTGATTGCCATGATTTTTATGAAATTCATGTTTAAATTGCAGGTGTCGACAGAGAGAAAGAGAGGCAGAAAGAGAGGTTGATCTATGATTTTTTAGCTAGGACTTGATCGCGACACTTGCAACTGGTTCCTAATACAGGGTATTTAATAACAGAATAGAGCATAAAAATTTATAGAGAAAACAAAAATCCAATACCTCAGCAGTTGCAGCATAAAAACACAGGAATATATACAACACACACAGACAGACACACACACACACGAAACTCTCTTCCCCGTAAATCTCTCTCTTAAAAAATAAATAAAAAAAAAAAAACAGAACCCCCCAAAAAGGAGTTCTAAAGAGAAATTCCCTTCACAAAGACAAAAATTAACACACAAAAATAAAAACACGTAATATAAATATCTCCAAGATAAAGTTAACATTAAATAAAATCGAAATAACAAAACAATTAAAAAACAATAAAATATGAAATATAATTGTACATTTAAAAAACAACTCGCATACTTAAAAAAATAATAATTCAATACAACAACTAAGCAGACAAGCTCTTATTGTGTAACATTGTCTCAAATTTACTCATGATAAGGACGGAAACTTCCGTTCGGAAAGACTTTATTTAAATTCCGCAATACTATGGAAAATTTATTTTTAGGTTTTTCAATCAGTTTTTCTCTCCAAAACCTTGATCACCAGAAGCTTCTACGACGATTTTGCAGTGTTCCGCATTCTATCTGCCCGTCTCTATAAATGACTCTAGCATGCGCTCACATCATCTTTTTTAAGCGCACGATAACTCTGGAAGGGAGTATTCGATTTGGTCCAAACTTGGTGCATCGTAATATTATTAAAAAACTTAGATCGAGTTCGGAGATGGGCAATATCTGTCCACTCCTTCTGGTACCTCCCCCACGAAAGACCGAATTTTTTCAAAATTATATTTTCTGCACAGAGAGGGAAGCGATAATACGATTTTGCTCCAACTTTGCAAATTCTAATATTTGCATCAGTGCTAGGTCTGGTGCGCAAATGGACAATATCGGGCCTCTCCTTCTGGTACCTCCCCCACAAATAGTCAAAATTTTAAATAATTACAACTAACATAAAATCTGATGTATTAGTCCGATTGTCTTGAAATTTCACACATCCCAATATTTATATCAACCCAAGGTCTGGTGCTAAGATCGAATATATCGGTCAACTCCATCTGGTACTTCCCCCACAAAGGGTCAAAATTTTGAATATTCATGAAGCTTGTAAAACGCGAAATTAACATCTGATTCCGACTCAGTCTTGGCACAGATCAATATTTCTATCAACATAAGATATATTATAAAGATGGTACAGATCGGACCTTTCCTTCTGGTACCTCCCCCACAAATGTTCAAAGTTTTATTGACCAAAACGATTATTAAATCCGAAATAAGCATCCGATTCTCTTCATATTTCACATACCCCATTATCTCTACTAAAACTAGATCTGATGAGAAGATGGGATATAACGGTCCACTCCTTCTGGTACCTCCTCTACGAAGAGTCAAATTTTTGAATATCTACGAAGCTTATAAAACGCGAAATTAACATTCGATTTCATTCAGACTTGGTACATCTCAATATTTCCATCAGCACAAGTTCTGTTATAAAGATTGTAGAAATCAGACCATTCCTTCTGGTAACTTCCCCACAAAGGGTCAAGGTTTTGAATAACAAAATCGATCGTAAAATCCGAAATAAGCATCCGGGTCTCTTGGAACACGTTCAAAACCCCATTGGTAGAACACACACATGGACATAAAAATCGGCAAAAGAAATAAATTTATTTTGACACTCTCTGTCACTTTTGGGCAAACTCTTACTCTTTTTTCGTAAATGTTGACTCCAACTCTTAAAATTTCTTGTAAAACTCCTACTCATCGATGTATTCTCTCTATCGAGTTTTTTTTTTTTTTTTTTTTTGAATTTATGGGTTCGACCATCCATTATCAGTATTTTGATGATTAAGCGACATTATTCGGAGTTCTTTCAAATTTCGTATTTAGAGTTCGTAATGGGAACTGTTATACTCTATGCCAGAAAATTGTCTAAGCAGGTCCACGTCTTCGTATAGCCACGTCTTCGGTTTTTGGTGATTTTAGGTACATTATTTACCGTAGTTTTTTTTTTTCAAGTTTCGTATTTGAATATTGTAATGGCCTATGACAAAAGTTCCCTATGCAAGTCCACGTCTGCTTATAGACCCTAATATGACGGCGACTTCCTATATTTGATATTTTTAAGAAATTTAATAAAATTTTTAAGGGATTTTATTTTTTCGAAAATTTTCAAACTCGTTTTCTGGCAATTCCTTCTCATAGTATCAATAGAAAAACCTATCAATCGATATCACCTTTAAAAATATATCGATAATGTCATCGATTGTTTGCCAGCTCAGATGTGAAGTCATTATCTTTTATCAAAAAATGTAGCAAACTTACCAAATTAAAAATTTTTGGATCATCCGGATTTTGTCTTAATTATAGAATTTGATTTGTAATCCGCATTTGCTGGACTTAACTCATACGAAGGCACACATTTCAGTGGATAACAAAATTTTGGCTCCTTTGTCTATAAAATGGTCCTCC